AGACCGGTTGAGAATTGTAACGGATTGCTACCTTAGTAAAGCCTGACCGGATTGCATTGTAGCGGATTGCTACGCTAGTAAAGCCTGACCGAAATCTCTATGGCAGATTCTCCAACACCTAGCTAGACTCCCAGAACAGCTAAGCTATAGCTCCACGGATTGCTACGCTAGTAAAGCCTGACTGACTCAGAAATATTGCTACTCTAGTAAAGCCTGACTAACTCAGAAATCTCTGGCTACGCTAGTAAAGCCTGACTGACTCAGAAATCTCAATGGGAGATCCTCCTACATCTAGCTAGACTCCCAGAACCAGCTAAACACCTTAGTAAAGCCTGACTGACTCAGAAATCTCGATGGCAAGATTTCCAACATCTAGCTAGACTCCCAGAACAAGCTAAGCTATAGCCTAGCTATAAGGGAAACTCATCTAGCTAGACTCCCAGAACCAACTAAGCTATAGCCCACATCTAGCTAGACTCCCAGAACCAGCTAAGCTATACCCCAGCTACGCTAGACTCCCAGAATAAGCTAAGCTATAGCCCAGCTATAGGCCAGAACCAGCTAAGCTATAGCCCAGCTATAGAGGAAACACGTATAGCACGAAACACGTTGATTCAGTAAGTATATTGCGAATAAAGTGTACACGCAGGAAGCTTAATCATGATCAGGATGACTGATTAGGTTAAACAAACAGAGGTTAATGATTGGTCACTGTGTACGGTCGCACCTCCCAATCATGGCGTGTAGGCATGCGATGACGTGTCCCACACGGTTACCACATTATGAGGCATCTTGAAGTGGACTATCCTAGTGACGGCTATTACATGATTGCATTGCAAATTGCAGCATCACGATTGCTTTTAGTTAAAAAATAATTGTCAGCGTCAGAAAAATTTCCTCAGCATAAGATCAGACTTTTGTAGTCACGTGATAGTCTGCTATCTGACTTCGCTCCTGGCTTGTAATTCAAGTTTGAGAATAAAGCTTTATTTACAGTTATTGGCCTGCCAAAATTTCAACTCAAAGACAAAGGCGTAAGCAGTGCACTTCATGCTTTTGTGGAGAATACAGGAATGGCTGAGTTTTTTCGCCGAAATCAATCAAGAAGTATTTCAGCTTCAAGAAGTTCAAGAAGGTAAATACCCGTGATCGAAACGGCCAACATACTTAAGTCCAGATATATACATATACATATATATATATATATATATATATATATATATCAAATGATAGGCGTTATGATAGGTATCATTAGCCCATTAGTTGACTTCGGGCTTCACAGAAAGGAAGAGGAATATCAGTGGCAAAAAGTCGAGAGAGAAGGGGAACAGAATAATGATTCACAGACGTAAAAGAGACAGAGGGGGGACAGAATAATGATTCACAGACGTAAAAGAGACAGAGCAGACACAAAGGTAGAAAAAAGGTGAGTTGAATACTGTGGATGACACAAAGGTAGAAAAAATGGTGAGGTGAGTACTGTGAAATTAGTCGAATATGACATACAATGGGTGTGATGGTAGTTTGAAGTCAGAAGTCAACTGCCGATTAATCTCATGGTAGTTTGAAGTCAGAAGTCAACTGCCGGTTAATAGATGGTAGTTTGAAGTGAGAAGTCAACTGCCAGTTAATAGTATGGTAGTTTGAAGTCAGAAGTCAACTGCCGGTTAATAGGGATCTTTTTGCCTTATGAGTATACGTTGCCCAGGGTGCACCACATTTTGCCGTATGAGTATGCGTTGCCCAGGGTGCACCACGTTTTTGCCGTATGAATATACGTTGCCCAGGGTGCACCACGTGGGCAGTTTGAAGTACCAGTCAATAGACTTTTTTCCGCATAAGTATACGTTGCCCAGGGTGCACCACATGGAGGTTGTAAGTACACGTTGCCCAGGGTGCACCACGTGGAGGTATGCCGTTTGAGTATACGTTGCCCATTGGTTTATAGACTTGTTTGCCGTATGAGTATACGTTGCCCGTCAATGGGGTGATGGTAGTTTGAAGTGAGAAGTCAACTGCCACAATGGGGTCATGGTAGTTTGAAGTTAGAAGTCAACTGCCTTTAATAGACTTTTTTGCCGTATGAGTATACGTTGCCCAGCGGTTTATAGACTTTTTGCCGTATGAGGTCTGTTGCCCAAATATGACATACAGTGGGGTCATGGTAGTTTGAAGTCAGAGGTCAACTGCCGGTTTATAGACTTTTTGCCGTGTTAGGGTTAGATCAACTGCCGGTTTATAGACTTTTTTGCCGTATGCGCATACACAATGACATACAGTGGGGTGATGGTAGTTTGAAGTGAGAAGTTGTGACATATAGTGGGGTGAGGGTAGTTTGAAGTCAGAAGTCCACTGCCGGTTTATAGACTTTTTGCCGTATGAGTATACTTTGTAACATACAGTGGGGTCATGGTAGTTTGAAGTCAGAAGTCAAGGCATACAGTGGGGTCATGGTAGTTTGAAGTCAGTGGTCAACTATACAGTGGGGTGATGGTAGTTTGAAGTGAGAAGTCAACTACCAGTCAATAGACTTTTTTCCGCATAAGTATACGTTGCCCAGGGTGCACCACATGGAGGTTGTAAGTACACGTTGCCCAGGGTGCACCACGTGGAGGTAGCCGTATGGAAGTGATAAGTCAACTGCCGGTTAATAGACTTTTTTGCCGTATGAGTGGGTTGCCCAGGGTGCACCGCGTGGAGGTAAGTCTATCGCATGTCGCCCAGGGTGCACCACGTAGAGGTAAATCTAGCTCACACCCCAAGTCCAGATATCAATTTGTGTTCTGAAAGTACTAAGTTTTCTACAGGGTCACCACTATAATATCTGGCTGATTCATTACCCTTTCTTCACAATTTGATCTCTAAGTATAAAAATGAGTTCATGTCCAGAACATTCCACGCTTAATGTCAATTAGATTTAATAAATTCGTTACCAATGCTAATGCTAAGGCAACGGACAAAAAAAATATAACCCGCTATATCTTGCTCAAATTGAATTCAACTAAGGGGATTTCAAATGAAAACAATTCAGATAACTATTCATAGCTTGAACGACCTTCAAACAATCTCCAAAAATAGTAAAATTTCGGCTATCGGTTCTTTGAAAACGAAATTTTAATGTTTAAAGTTAGTCTTCCCTCTAGGTTTTTATTTCGTTCCTTCCTCGTATTCGCGCTTACTTCTAACTTATGCAAAAAAAATCAGAAAACTCTTGAAATTCTGTTCACGTGAGGGACGAATAGTCTTTGCATCGCGTCTCTCGGTAAAGTGAATTCTAAATGGGGGAGGGGGCGGGCAAATGTATAGCCTGAGTATATATCTCTCTCTCTCTCGAGTAACACCGCATTTTTTCGTCCGCTTGGACACCGATTCATTCAGCGCTAATAACGTAGCATTTCTCGACCACAGTAACAAGTTTTAACGATTGGCAGGATGTAATAGCTTAATAAGCAATGCCGCAAGTGTGAAAAAGTTTAAGCAGAGTTTGGGGAGGGGGGGGGGAATTTGGGGCTTCATGTCGTACTTCACCTAACTTTCGAGTTTCTCAAGCTTCAAAATTTATCTAATTAATCTAGTTCATTGAGTTGTGCAAGCATTTCTGATATGTTCATTGGTAAGTTCATTCTCACTGTATTCTCTGCTGATTAAACATTTTAAGAAACTAGATGGTTTTCATGCGTCCAGTGATTCAGAAGGTAGAATTGAGGATAGACCAGAATCTGTAAACAGTGGCGATTAAAAATTGAGTGCTTGTACCATTGGTCTCGTAATAGACGTATCGTTGAATTCTAGAAGCAAAATCTGAGTTGTCGTGCTAGAGACGAGTACAAACTGTTAATCGACATTCTCCGAATGAAGCGTTCGCAAACTGCTCGGATAAACACAAAATTGATATTGGTAAAAAATTATTAATAAAAGGACAGGTGTACTTAGATAATTTTAAAGCCGATTGCAAAGTAACGAATTCCATCATGAGAAGCAGGTCAAAAGCAGAAGATTCAAACAAGTTGGGGGGGGGGGGGGGGGGGGGGGGTTGGGGGATGATAAACAAAGAACAGTCAATGAAAACTGAACATCGCGATCCTTTGTTTACCCATATTTTCAAAAGGAGTCTAGTCCACTTAGTAAATCCTATTAGACAGTCTACACTACTTGACTCCCCAGTTCTTGAGCATGGGCAACCTTCACTGTATCCAGTTATTAAATCAATCAGTTTGGCTTAATCAAGGAACACGCCACCTCGTTTGTTTCGCAGATGCTGCCAACGACAGCAGAGTTAATTTGAATTACAATTACAATGTTTTCTTGGCACATTGTCCAACAATACACTTTATTCAAATTTAGATCAACTAAGGTAACACGCGCACGGAAGGGGGACTCATATGCCTAACAATAGACAATCGTTTTCCATCTTTGGAGACTAAGGGCTGAGTGCCAACCATGGTATTCTTTAAACAACAGCACTAAAAGTGTTGGGGCGTATAGTAGGATTGAGAACTGGGGCGGAGGGAAGAAAGCGCTAAATGTTTTCTCCAAAGTCGATAAAAGTTCAAAAGATTAGGTGAATCATCGTAAAGCAGAAACGAATTGATCATTGAAATGGCTTAATCGTACAGCTGAATGATTACTTCCGTCATATCAAAGTAACTCGTTTTACATAGTGAAGATTAGCTTTTGCGGAGCCAACTGTGCAAATTCAACTTAATCCTCCAAAATTCCCATCACTTGTTAAAAACGCCTATCTTCTACCTCCAAGGTATAATTGATACGCAAATTGTCCATAATTCCTCTCACGAAAATGACCTAATTTTTTTAATTAAAATAGGATGAATCAGCTTACTTTAAGGAAAATCTTCTCTTTTCGCCTTGGTATAATTCGGTGTTATAGCTAAGGAAATCAGAACAATCCCATCCATTTATAAGCTTGAAAATTATCAGGCATGAGTGAAAATTTGAATATTCCTGTCCTTCAAGGCAACTGCTTATTCTCTTCCTTGTAGAACTATGAAACGCTTTTCGCCTCTTCAATTCTGCGTCTTTCTAATCGTCTTCGAAGATGTTCGGACAATCTCGCTCAAAAAATAGGGTCAGTTTCCAATATTCTACTTATCTCAACGTAGTACCATATTTAAGATTTATAACCGGATTTTATCCTTCCAGTGCACCCAGCTCTGACACGAATTCTCCAGTTGGTCAAAGTTCCCGAAAAGGTAATCTCAGATCATCAACCTCTTTGCATCAAGAACTCAGCGATTCCTTATCCAACATGCGAACTGTGGAACAGCAATTGCAATGTACGTAATAATTAATAAAA